CTGGAGCTATGGAAGGAATTTACTGCTCGTGTCCAAACTAGGCTTCACTTCCAAATAAAGCTGAGACTTGTAAAGCTGCAAGAGCTTCAGGCAGATTGCTTGTGTGTGCAGGGAGAGTCACAGAGCCAGTGACCCCCAGTAAACCCAGCCAAGGGGACTCCAAGCTCCCAGTTGCTGGGGTGGGATGATCCAGGGACCCAAGCCCATTCCGATCCCTTCAAAAATCAAATGTGAATGAGTTCTTCTGGTTGAACTCTTCTAGGTCCTCTTCAGTGCCAGCCATCACCACTGTCCCTGGCACAGAGGGAGCTGCCACTGCCACATTCCCTGTCTCCCTTTCCCTCAGTCTGGGAGAGGAGCCCGTGATTCCTCTGGTTCTGGGGAAGTGCTGGCAGAGCTCTGGCCTTGCTCACGCTGCCTCCTGTATCCACAAAGAAATCAGCTTCAGCAATCCTGTGCCCCCAGCTCAGACTGCCAGGAGCAGCCTGGGCAAAGAGAGGGTGGCAGGAGCCTCCCTCACTTCCCTGTGGGATCAGGAGCTCTTTGACAGAGAGAGGGATCACAGATTTCCTCCAGGTACAACACGAAGTAACCGATTTTCATGATTTTTTTTTTTCTCCTTCAATAAAAGAGGCTTTCTAGACACAGAACACGAGGCAGCTTCTATGAACCCACGAGGGGGGTGGAAATGGAAGGGAAGAAACCGGAGTGGTTTGGATGGGTTGGGGCACCGTGTGGGAGGGCTGCTGGAGCACTGCTCCAGCCTCTGCCGCATTCCTCCTGTGCAAGTCCTGTAAACTGACCCCTCTTCAATTATTCATTAGAGTCTGCAGCTCATCAGAGACTCTGCTCCTCAAACAGGCATTTATTTGTGTTTTTTAAGAGCTCAGAAGCTGCTGTTCCCCAAAGCCCGGCCTTGCCAAGGACGGAGAGCAAACGCTCTGCCAGGAACGGGCCGGGAGCTGTCAGGCACTGCTGGAGAAACAAACCCACTCGATTCCTTCAGCTGACAGGACGGGGCAGCCAGTTTAAACTTGGAGCTTTACCACTGACAGGCTGGAAAAGCCAAACGTTGAGAGAGCAGCCGTGGCTGCAGCCCCTGCGAGGCAGGGGGAAGGCAGATTTCCAGGCAGCACCACGAGATGTTCTGCTCCCACCAGGTTATCCCAGGTCCTGCCCAGCCAGGGAGGGGCCAGATTTGGCCAGAGCACTCTTGGCTGGAAGGAGCAGGAGAGGGGCAGTGGGCTGAGAGGGGATTTGCTGAGGAACCTGCCCCTTCCCACAGCTCCACAGCTTCCCAGTTCTTGGAGAAAGCAGCAGCAGCTGTGCAAACACACGGCCCACTGCAGGGCAGCCACTTGTTTGTTTTGAAACCCTTCCTGTTAAGAAGCTGTGATTAGTTGTGTCCAGTTCTGACAGGGATCACACCACTGGACACCAGTGGAATCCTGTCCCACTCTCAGCCTGGAGCTCACGTGCAAGGCTGGCACAAGGGCTCTCCCTCACCATCCCTTGCAAGATGCAGCAGGGAAGGACCTTTCTGCAGACTTTCCCTGGTCAGGACATGAGGATAAACCAGCAGGAGCTACACAGATCTGGGAAAAAGCCTTGTCTTCCCCTCTGCTGCATTCCCACAGCCAGGCCCAGCCTGAGCAGGTGGGGCACCACATGCCTGGTTCATGGGCAGGAGCACATCCCTCACTCCAGTCTCAAAGGTCTCTTTTATGGCTCAGAGCTGGAAGAGTTCAGTTATTCCCTTCCCCAGTTTTCACTGTGCTCTGTGATTATCACCCAGGAACAAGCTGATCAGCAACCCCAGCCCGCGCCACGTTCCCTCCAGGGAGAGTGTGGGCTCACTCAGCACTGCAAATCCACTCCTCTGCTCTTCATTATGAAGTGATTTCACTAATTGGGTGTTGTACTTCCATGCATAATTCCTCACACTTGGCACCTTCAGGGAGCACGGGCTCACCCCTCAGCCTGGGTGCAGAGCAGGCTGGCAAACCCCAGATATGAGAGGTTCCATTCTCCCACTGAATTCAGTTGCTGTTCCCCAGCTCAACAAGGACCAATTTCAGCCAACCTGGCAATTAAAATCTGGAGAACACAGGAGAGAACAAGGCTCAGCACCCAGGATCAATGCACAGAGCTGCCAACCAGCCCTGGGCTTTCAACCACCACCACCAGCAGAGAGGATGAGAAAAAAAATCCATCCTTGAACCTAAATTTGCCAAAGGCTCCTGTTCCTGCAGTGTGGGATCAGCATCCCGGTTTTAGGGATGTGACCATCCTGTTCTCAGCACAAATCCAAACCACAGCCATCCTGAAGAAAATTAACTCTACCCAGCCCAGAGCAGCACAAGGATCTTGCAGGCATTCCCAAGACACGCAGGTGAACACACCAAGGAACGGGGCTTGCAGGGACTTGTGCACCACAACTGTTCTTGAAAGGTGGAATCCACCACGGGTTGTGAAACGCACCAGCTGTCCTGGGTAGGAAGCTGAGTTGGAGGCACAAAAGCGGCAAGAAGGTCCCTGAATGCAGCCAAAACCATCCCCTCACTACCTCTGCAGTGACCATTTCACCGTGTTTCGTGCCCAAAGACCCCAAAGTGCAGCAGCAGCAGGTGAGATGCTGACGGAGGCATCCGACTCTGCCGGCCTCGCGCTACCAGCTGTGAAGTTCCCGACTCTTTTGAGGAACTCTTGGATTCCCTCCTTTGCAGAGTGCCTTTGGTTACTGCCCAGGCAAATAAGGACTGCACTCCTGGCAGCATCCTGCTGGCAGGGGCAGGGGAGGGACGGTGCTGCTGTGTGGGCGTTGAGTAATCGCCGCTGTCCCTGCTCCGGGTTATTTTTAGAAGAGATCCCAGAACGAGCCGCAAAAGGATAGCGAGTACAGACCTGGAAAAAAGGTGCCTCTTCCCCCTACAGCTCTCCACACACAGCACAGAAGGGTGTGGGAGGGAGCCTGAGCAACCTTCAACTTGAGAACAGTCACCTCAGATGGTGACGGCCGCTCGCTTCCCCTGCCTCAGTCCTTGCTGTGGGTAGAGCCAGTGCCAGAAGCTGCTGCTGACGTCTACACTCCAAGTGAACAGAAAAACACAGATATTCTGGGTGCTGCCTGTGCCCCCATCTGCAGCATCTCAGGGCAGAGTTTGCCCTCAAGCTGAAGGTATGTGTTTATAGGAGGGATTTCACTCGTGCTGGTGGCAAACATACCTTGTACAAACTTGGAAAACGACGCCGGGGTTATTTCAGGACCACGTAGCAGGGCTTTGTGTGTTCAGAAGTTACCCAAAATGGGATTGTCAGACACTGCTCACAGGCACTTTGGCCACGGTGCCTCAGAAAAGTGGAAAACAGGACACCTGCACCAGCACAGGGCTCTTGTGGCTTCCCTGCTGTGGGATGTTGGACAACTTGCCCACTGCTCTGCTCCAGCTTGGGCTTCATGTCCGCGTCCCACAGACACAGAGCAGCAAAGGGAACCTCAAGTGTTTTTTGGCCTCTACCTCATGATCTTTCTGTGGGGCAGCATCTACAGATGCAATCAGCCAGGGTTTGTCTCAGTGATGTTCTTCAAAGAAAAAAAAAAAAATCTTAAGTGATTTTTAAAGCAACATCCTGCAGCAGCTTTTAGGGGAGGGCAGTTTAGCCAAGTGTTTGAAGATGAAAGAGGCAAAGTCTCGAGTCTTAGAAACCCGGCTGGAATCCAACCAGAAGACACAGATTACTTTTTTCCCCATGCCAGAGATGCAGGCACAGTGAGGAACCATAAACTCACTGCTCTCAGGGGAGGGAAATGCCCAGTTTCAGTGACTTGAGTTCACCTGACCCACACCAGATTTCTTTGCAGGCTGCTGGAAAAGTGCCAGGCCAACGAGTGGGACAGAAAGGCAGAACATGCAGGTGGGATGCAACAGCACTGCTAGAAATCCACAAAAATTCCAGGGAGGGGAAAAAAACCCAAACCCCAAACCTGGCTGAAACGTAGACAACTGGTTTTTAGGTTGAGATTTCTTTTACTAAAAATACAGCGTAACCAACTGGAAAAACAACACCACAAGCCCCCAGAGCCTTTAGCAGGGACGATGATTCAGAGGGAGAAGCTGCCACAGGGCCCTCGCTGAGGGTACAGCACACAACAAGCTCTTGACAACCTGCTTGGCAAGGCTGCCCAGGGCAAATCAAACATGTTGTGTCATTCTCCACAGTTGGAGCGTGTTATGGATCAGGAAAGGAAATCCTGAAAGGATTATGATTTCACGGTACTGAAATGGCTCTTCTGCTCTGGAGTGTCTTGCAGGGCAGAGAGGAACAGGCTCAGTTAGGATGCTGTGGCAGAATCAGCACTCAGTCCTGTACTTGGGGAGGGCTCACATCAGAGAAATCAAGTCCTTCAGCACCACACTGTTCATGTGTGGGGCAGGATGAGCTTTAGGCGCCTGAAGAAGGAGTAGCAGGTTAAGATCCTTGCTCAAAGACAGCAGCTCAGCTCCCTCTGCCATTCCCAGCTGATGCCAATGGGGATGCAAAGGACAACCTGGCAGAAGTGGAGCTTCTCCCAGCCCCACCAAGGCAAGAGAATAAACAGATACCAGGCACTCAGCAAGGGCAGCTGTGCCAAAACCATCAAATACTCTTGCACTTCTCATCCCATCTGGCAAGATCACAACACAGAGAGAGGCGTAAACACGGCACCGAAACACCCCAGGGATTCTCACTTCTCGCCCTCAGCTGTGGCCTCCAGTCCTGCTCCCATGTGCTGGACCAAGGCAGCCCTTTGGGAAACCTCCCAGGCACGTTTGGATGACCAAAGGGACAGGAAGATGGGGGTTTTATCTTTCTTTTTGGTCATCTCCAGTCCCTCACGCTGCCACGTGCGCTCATCCCGATTACGGCGCAGCAGCTTACAGGGTTTATAAATAGTCAGCTCACACCCCCCACCCACCTCGGGGGGACGGCTTGGAGATGTAACCCTGGAGCAGTTTTACCTTGGCTGGAAGATTTCCACCTTCTTCTGGGGCTGCCTGCCCGTTCTGTAAAGGAAGAGAGCCTGCTGTTAGCACGTGCTGGCCACGGGGTCGCTCCTCACACCCTTTACCAAGGCCGGGGGCTTTGGGAGCCCTTCACGTGGGACAAACAGGGCAGGACGGCACTTTGGACGTGGTACAAGGTGGTTGAACGCTCCCCCCATGTATCAAGGGGATTCCTGTCTTTTAACTTGCTTAAAAAAGGCTTTTGCCCGGAGAGTCTCTCCACCGTTCCCTCAAATGAAATTAGGGCTCCTTATACACCAAATGTTGCTTGTGGGGTGAACATCACACCCCTGCACTGCTCCAGCTCCTGCACCCTGAGGTGGTGGGTGCAGGATGATCCCAGTGCTGCAGACACTGCTCCATCCCACCCCTCCTGCACCCACACTGTGGCTTTCCCTGCACTGTTCCTCTGGAAGCAGCAAGCAGGGAGACTGGGTGAAGCCGGGAGACCAGAGTGCAGTTAACAGCCATTGTGCCGTGACACCGGCTTTAAAGGGAACATTTATCACTTATTTATTACCCTATCGCAGCTGATACCTGCGGGAACTGTGCCCCACCTGCCTGGCTCCGGGTCCAGCCCTGCACAAAGTCACGGAGGGTGACCTGGAGTGGCACCAACCCGTCACACCGAGCGCTGAACCCCAGAGGGATCAGGTTCGGCGCTGGAGAAACCGGCGGGAGCAGAAGTGGGTGGGATTTCGTTAAGACACAGATACTCAGAGCAGGATAAGCACGTACAGAAGGTTTTCTGCAGACTGTGGAGAAAAAACAAGGGCAAGAAGACTTTGACGTCTGTTTGCACTGCAGTCGCAGGCTCCAAAAAATCACGGAATTCCTCTTTTTCTCTAAAAGAACGAGGCCAATTTGTTCACTCCTTTTCGCAGGTTATGGCCTAAGAGAAGAGTTGCAATGCCAATGTATTTTGGCCTCAGATTCTTATTGGAATGACTGGGTTTTAGAGCCTTTCAGGAATGGACAGAAACAAAGCCAAGTCCTTCCCTGGAGAAGCAACAACTCAGTGATATGATCAGCCTGGCTTCTGTCTCAGGACTCCACTATCCCCTTCCACCCCTTGGGCCAAATTTAACTCATTACCTTTTAATATCAAGCAAAACTTACAATTGCTGATCTTGACAGAGCTTTGGGGCCACAGTGAAAACTTCCCTCTAACGCTGCACTTGCTTTCTACAACATTCACTGGGCACTCTCCAGCTTCCCACAGGAGGGTTTTAAACCACCACTGCTGGGTTTACACTGCTCAGCTCCCTGCTCGTGGCTGGCTCACAGTAACAGCTGTAGGGCTAAAAAGCTGAATCTAAGCACAGGTTTATTTTTCAGACACTTCAAATCCACAGACAATAACCCAGAGTTCCCATGTATCTTCATATTTAGGTCCCTCCACTCAGTCCAACCTGTGCTGCCCCAAAGAACAGCTCAGCCCTACAACACAGAGTACCACACACCAGCTGAGGACATCACCAGCCTGACTCTGGCCCTGCAATATTTGCATTGATATGGACCCACTCTGAGCTCCACAACTCACCTCAGTCCCAACTTAACTTTTAAGTTCCAAAGTATTTTCAGACAATGACTGAAAAAAAGCAACAGCACCACCTCACAAGCCAAGTTCTCCCTGAGGAATGTTGCCCTGGTGTTTACAGGGAGATCTTGGTGCCATTAGCACAAAGAATAGCTGAGCAGTGAAGTAAGATTTGTGTTTATGAACAGCCCCCACAACGAAGGGGGGGACACAGCACTGGAGATAACCAGACTTGGAAACACAGTGATGTTTACTGGCTCAGCTATCACTGAGCAACAATTCCTAACTGGCTGCTAATCCGAACCAGAGCTCAGGGAGGGCTGGTTTTGTCTAAAACAGCCCAAGAAGCAGAATTTCTGTGTTGGACAGAAGGAAGCAGTGCCTGGCTCATGGTCTGGAGAACAGATCTACGAGGCAGGTGTCAGGAGAGGGGTGAGTTCATGCACCACAGTTCAAGTGCTGTGTTTTGTCAGCTCCCTGCTCCAAGGAAGACTTGTCCTACACATTGCTGTTGACAGAAATCCATCCTACCTGGGGATGGAAGGGATGGGGAAAAAGAAAGAGAACAGTGCCCATGCCAGGGAGGTTTCCTGGGCATATAGTTCCCTGGTCTCGAAGGGATGGAGCTCCTGATGAAACAGTTGCATTCTCAGGCTGACATGAGGCAGATGTGTGAGGGAATTGCAGTATTTAGAGCCAAGCACTTTCCTTCTACCCCAGAGCAAAACCAGTCCTTATTCCCTCATATGGAATTCGAGGGCCATTTGTAACTGTCCCAGATGGAAACACACAGTTCAGACTCATCACCAAGATAAAATACAGCCATTCACCGCATTGTAAGCACAGCTGAAATAGTTTGTGGCTTTCTTGGTTTGACATTTGCCTCTTTAAAATGTTTTATTTCTGCCATCCCCCTGCACGGAGGGCGAGCGAGGGAACATGTGTTTGCTTCCCTCCCTGCAGATGCCCTCTCAGAGCACATTGCTCTCAGGGCTGGAAAGGAGCCTCCTGGATGTCCAACTCCAAGAAAATCCTGAAGATCTCCCATGGGCAGCAACCAGGCAACGAGTGCTGCAGGAGGGAGGCAGAGCTCCTTCCCTTGGGGCAGTGAGGAGCTGACACAGATTGGGCAGAGCAGGGCTTGGGTTACCAGGGAGGCACGACACGAGCCTCACCGGGGGCCAGCAGCCTGTCCTTGCAGCTTTCCAGCCTGCCCTGCTCCCGGGTGAGCGGAAACAGGGATTACAGAGCTAATCTGATGGGCACGTGGAGCAGCCGGGCAGCGAGGGCACCTCTGGGTGAGTGACCACTCCAGCTGCCCCAGAGGTGACACAAAAACCCTCCTGAGCACACACGACACTCTGAAGTTTCCTTAATAGAAAAGCACCCTGGAAAAACAAGTGTACTCAGTTACGCAACTGCCTGGCTGAACTTGGGAGATATTTATCTTAGGACATCTTGTGTTTTAAATCCTTTTAATTCCACATAATCCGCAGTGCAGGGAGCAATTTACAGACCAGGCCAGTGTGCTCTGATGTGAAACCAGGACGAGTGGCACCCTGGCAGGACCGTGGGGATGGTGCCCACTCCTGCTGTGCTCTGTGGTTACACCACCAGCATAAGTCACCCCCCTGGGTTATCAGCAGCATTGTCTGCTGCTATTTCTGGACCTTTTGACTAGTCATTTTTGAGATGCCCAAAACACAACCTGGGTGCCAGGCACCCAGAGATGCTCTTTCACCCAGCCCTGATGAACAGTCAAGCACTCAGGCAGGAAGGAATGGAGGAAGAAACCCTTCACCCCAGAGCTTCTGCCCGTTTGACGCAAGAACGAGGCATTTTTAAATTATGATGATGATGATTATTATTATTAAGTGGAATGTGTGGATCTTGCCTATTGCAGTTCAGAGAAAGGAAATAATTGTGCAATAATAGAGATCTCCAAAAGAACTCCCGTAGCCCAAACAGACCGAGGAGTCTCTGCACAAAGCACATCAGAGACAGTCACTCGGCTGCCTCCCTTGTCTTTTGATCACAGTTTTTGCATTGTGCAGCTACGATGCTTGAGAAGGAGTTACTCATGAATAGCTCCCTGCTCAGTAAAGAATGATACAGGCAAAAATAATTAGCTTGAAGTGGTTGAGTTTGGCGTAATCCCACGTCAGTTGCGTTGCTGTACGTTTGTGTAATGAAACAAGAATTTAAAGCAAAGTGGAGCCCTGATGACAGATCCATCACTATGGGGATGAAATCATGGAAGCACGGAATCTCAGAATGGTTTGGGTTGGAAAGGACATGGGCAGGGACACCTTCCACCAGCCCAGGTTGCTCCAAGCCCTGTCCAACCTGGCCTTGGACACTCCCAAGGGATGGGGCAGCCACAGCTTCTCTGGGCAACCTGTGCCAGGGCCTCCCCACCCTCACAGGGGGGAATTTCTGTGTCATTCAACTCCATCCTCCAGCGCTCGTACTGTGACCCAGTCAAGTTTTTCTACTACATAAGCAATATTCGGAATAATATAAACAGAATGGGGAAAAATAAAAAAAAAAAAAAAAGAAGGAAAAAGTCTTACAAAGCTCAGTCCCCAGGACAGAGGGACTTGGCTCCTACAGGGGATCAGTTCAAGCTCCCACTGCCACCCACTCCCACACATTTCCCTGGCACGGCCGAGCTGCAGTGGGCTGGGACAAGGGGCACCAAACGGCCAATCCTCCCAGAACACACTGGAAAAACCACAAATCCCTCAACAATAAGACTGATGCCTCCACCAGCGCGGTGACAGCACCTCTGCTCCGTGACTCAGAAAGCAAAGGTCGGAGGAAGCCGGTTTCTAACCTGGATGGCACCGATCCCAGGGCAATTTACGTAACTGGTGTTCCAGAAAAGTCTCCTCGCTCTCTCAGTGGTGCCACCTCTCCCAGGAGGGGTGAAAACTTCCCCCTTGGGCCCCTACCCTTGGCAACTTTAGCCTCAAGGTGCAAAACTCCTCCCAAGCCTTAGTCCCTCTCCGCCGCTCACGGGCAGTGCTGGATCTCAGGGAACTCTTTAACATCTGGCCCAGGTGTAGAGGTGAAGAACGCCTGTGTTATTTTCCTGGCTGGAATCAGGCGTGTTTGCTTACCAGCTTAAACCAAAGGGAGATAAATTGCTGATGTCCCACTCCAGAACAAAAAGCCGGATCTGCAGAAATGTCACCTGCACGCGGTGCCTGACCCTGACCCCCGGCCAAGGTGAGGTGGGGGAAGGGGAGAGAGCCAGAGGCTCCCTCCGGTTTCAGTTTACAATTAACACACCCCTTACTGGTGCAATGAGGAAAAAGGTCCCCGCTGCTCCCGGGAGCTGACTCGGGATGACAAACACACGGGACCCCCCCCGGCCGTTTCCTCTCGGAAGCGATCCCGTGGTGCTGACACAGCGCCCGCCCGGCACTTGGGGGACCCGGGATTAGGGAGTCAATGAAATCTCGCCCACGGCATCCACAGCCCCGGGCGCTGGCGTTATAGTTTCCTCCCATTGTGAGTCTAGTGGCGTTTTCTGGCTTCTCAGGCATTCTCCCTACTTAGGAAGGGAGAAACCACAAATAAAAAGCCCTGTCTCCCAGCCCTGGCTCCGGGCGCACGGTGTGGTTTTCGGGAATCGCCGCAGGACTTCCCTGCTCTCCCACCTTCCAGCACAAACTCATCCCCGTGACTCCAGCGATGCTTCCGAGCAGATGCTCTTCACCTCCCGCACCCTCGTGCCAGGGGTTTGGCCCAGGCAGACCCTCCACACAGCCCCCACCTGCACGGGGGGGGCTCCAGGGGAGGCTGTGCCACACCTGGCTGATGAAAATTAGGAAACCTCGCCTCCGATGGCCAACACACCTCCCTGCTGTCCCTACAGCAGGGGCGAAACGCTGCCTGCACTCCAAGCAGAGATCTCTTAAGAGGCAATTTTGAATAGGAACGAGCAAATCTGACTGATTAGCCATCACAACATCCCCAGGCATGATAAAGGACTGTGACGGGCATCAAATCCTGATAGAACAATGGGAAAGCACCACGGACCGGGAAACACCTGGGACAAAATCCCCACCTTCCCTCTGGTTTCTCCAGGAGAGCTGCTACTGCCAATCTGGATGAGATGTTTAACTAAAGAGTTCCAGAGCACAGTGCCTCAGCCGGCTGCTCTGCAGAGGGTGACAACTGCTGCAAGCTGTCCCTTCGTCGGGAAATGGCTGTGGCGCGAGCCATGGATGTGGACAGGGGCTGAGCACCATCCTGCACATCTGGCTTGGGGGGCTTAATGAGGAGGAAAAGAGCCAAGTGGGAGGGAAGAGCAGACGTCCAGCAAAGTGACACAGGACTGAGATCGGAGTTGGCAGCGCAGGCCTGTGCGAGCAGCCGGGGCTGGGGGGGCGAGGGAGACCGCGGGAGAAGAAAAAAACAAAAACAAAAACCCCAAACCTGAGATATTTATCCCCTGGGCCTTCAGCGGGGTCCGTTTTCCTCCGGAAAATAAAAAACGGAGGAAACGTGCCCGGGAGGTTTGGGAGCGCTGCCCGCGCTCCCCGAACCATCACAGCCTGCAAGGGCAGCAGCGAGCCCGGCAGCCCCCCGGCGCCCCGACCCCAGCCCCGGGCGCACACACCGAGCCCCGGAGCAGCCCCGGAGCAGCCCCGGCAGCGCTCGGCTCCGGCGGCCGCGCTCCTCCAGCCCCGGGGAGCGGCTCGGGGCGGGCGGCACCGCATCCCCCGCCCCGCCCGGGGTCCCGCCGGGGTCCCACCCGGGCGCTCCTTTGTTCGGCGGCTCCCCCCGCCCGCCGCCCCGGCGGTGCCCGCTCACCTCCGGGTCCAGATGGACCAGCTCCATGTCGGACCAGGGCTCGGCGAGCTGGGCGAGCGGCATCGCTGCCGGCGGGTGCCCGCGCCGCCGGGCTGGCTCCGAGCGCCGGGCTGGGCACCCACCGGCTCCGCGCCGGGCCGGGGCGGGGCGGGGGGCGGGCGGGAGGCACCGGGGAGGGGCTGCGGGGATCCTCCGCCCGGAGCATCCGGCACTCACAGCCCGGCGTGCGCCGGCTGCGGGAAGGGATGGGAGCGTGGAATCGTTCAGGTTGGAAAAGCACACCCTCCCCTCTCCGGTCCAGCTGTTCCCCCAGCGCTGCCAAGGACACCCCAACCCATGTCCCCGAGTGCCGCATCTACACCGGGTTTTTAAATCCCGCTGCCCTGGGCGGCCCCTTCCAATGCCTGACCACCCTTTTGGTGGAGAAATTTCACCTAATATACAACCCGACCCTCCGCTGGCACAGCTTGAGGTCGTTTCCCCTTGTCCCGTCCCTTGTTCCCTGGGAGGAGAGCCCGACCTCCCCCTCCTGTCAGGGAGTTGCAGAGAGCAAGAAGGTTCCCCCTGAGCCTCCTTTTCTCCAGGCTGAACCCCCCCAGCTCCCTCAGGTGCTCCTGGTGCTCCAGACCCTTCCTCAGTCCCTTCCCTTCTGTGGACACGCTCCAGCCCCTCAATGTCTTCTTGTCATGAGGGGCCCAGAACTGCCCCAGGATTTGAGGTGTCTTATCAGTGCCTAGCACTGCTCTGGGAAATCCAGATTCCAAATTCAAGATGTGCCAGGAGTCACTGCTCATCACCTCCTGCAGTGTCCCCCACCTTCCCTACAAAACAGGGGTGAAGAACACATCCACCTCTGGAGAGCCTCGGAGGAAAGGTGCCTTGAGTGCAGGTGTTCAGAATTCCTGGCAATTCTCACCTGTCAGGTTTCTCAAATAGGAGAAAGTTTTGCTCTACTCACATTTTACCAAACCCCAATGCACCATGTTTTCATGTTTCATTATAAAACTATTTGTTAAAAAAAAAATATGAAAGTAAATCTTGTTCAAAGATGCATCGCTAAGGGTTGACTTCATCAAGGTGTGGCTGGAAACATTTAATGAGCCTGAGCGGAGCTGGGATTGTGCATTCTGAGGGCAGGTGTCCCAGGTTACAGCCCTTGGCCCTTTACCTGTTTCCAAAGGGCAGTGAACTCTGAAAAAGCCAAATTAAGCCAGAGCCTGGTGCTTTGAAAAATTCCAGTGACTCTCCAAAGCACGTGAAGCTGCTCCGTGAGTCATCACCAGGACCTGCTTGTGATTTAGGAGAGAGCTGCCATCTTTTCTGCGTGTGGGGGAACCGAGTGTAGGAAATTCCCACGGTGACAGTGCCTGAGCCAAGCCTGGGAATCGCTGTCTCCGAGTCCTGGGCTCGGAGCCTCCATCTGTGCCGTGCGTGCTGCAGCCCCAGACGAAGGCATTAAACAGCACAAATCCACCCGGCTGGTACTAAGTGAGGTCCTGTTAGAGCCAATTAAACTCATGGCACTTGCTGCTGGAGCAAGCTGAAGCAGATCTTGTGGAGAGTTATTCACTCAGCTCCAAAGCCATCCGTAATTTCCCCTCGCTGCCTGGAACACGATGTGCCGGCTGGTTCCATCCAGCCTCCAGCTGCTGCAACCTGCTTTAAATGGCATCAATAACACGGTGATGTCAATACCAGAATCCCATTTACCTTCTTCGTTGGTTTGCCAAACTCATCTCCCTTTCCTTCTGCTCTGGGCAGGGATGCAGAGGGAGCTGAGTGCAGGACAGTGCTTTCTGTTTCCTTTTTGGAAGGAGAATGAGACTCTACTCAGTGACCTGCCGTGCTTTAATGCCAGACCCCGTGAATCCATCACATCCTGGTGCACTTGGAGCTTCCCACCCAGGTGACAAGCCCAGAGGGAATATTTAAGCAGTAGTGCCAGGCACAAAGGCCATTTCCCATCAGGTGACCCACTGAATGCCTCCCAACTTCCATTCGTGGGATTCAGGCAGGATCAGGTGCTGAGCAAGGAACCTGCAGCAGCTGAAGGGGGAATCTCAGGCTGGTCATTAACTCCTGGGAAATTTCTCATTCCAAAATCACAGCTGCAATTATACACTTTTTTTTTTTTTTTAAGTTAAAAATAAATTACTTTTGAAATGTTGTAAGAGTTATAGTAGAAAAGCAGGTTTTCCTCTTCAAGGTCACAGTGAAAGGTTCAGGGGCAATATCCAGAGCAAGGCCTGTGAAGGGCAGGGAAACAGAAATGCTGCTGTTTCTACCCCTGGCAGGTCTCTTGGGATGCAGGAAGTCCATCATATTTCATGGCAGAGACAGGCAGGCTGCCCCTGGACTTGACAAAAGACAGAAATCATGAAGCTTTACAGAGCAATGACTTCTTCAGGCTGGAAACAGACAATGGCTCTAAACCCATGATACCTTTGCACCTAAATAAAACTGCCAAATTATCCTGCCCACTTCTTTTAGTAAAACAGCAAATTAAAGACATTGCTGTCTTACGAATGACTTGTGAGTTATTGCTCTCTGCGTCTCTGCAGCTGCTTCTGTTAAAGGCCAGGAGAAGATTTTGCTGAGGTAGCTCTACAGTATCTCAAAATTATAATAACACCCCAAAAAAGGCCTTGGTGACAGCACAGCAATTCAGCAGCGATGCTGGGTGGACACTCTATGGCCTCTCTCAGTTCCCAGCTCCAGGACTCCAAGAGAAGCCACCTCTCTGCTGATAGAAGGTATTATCAGACTGACCTTCCCTCAATTCCTGCACCAGATAATGCTGAATCCTAGTTGGATTAACAGAAGGTGAAATGTGCCACAGGAGATTGCTGCTAAGTCCAGGGCAGGATGTCAGGGTAAGAGAAATTGAGGTAGTGGTGTTCCCCAGGGTGTATTTCCAGTCAAAGAACAGCTGTAAAAAGCATCCCTGATCCTGGATCAGGGTAGGAAAAGCAAAATCTGCTGTTTGGGTGAGTGTCATGGCTAAATACAGTGATTAAAACATATAGACTGGCATTTTTCTGAGACAGTTGCAGGCTGGGGAGAGCTACTGCCATGGTAAACAGAGCCTCTGGATCAGCTGGATCCTTTGTCAGCGCTGCATTCACTGAAAATTCAAAATGCTGCGGGTTTTAGTTTGGTTTTAAACCCATCAAATCCTCCTCAGATACAATTGTGGATATTTTTGCCTCTGCAGCTGGCTGGCTGGGTAACGTTTTCCTTTGCAGAGGGGCTGACAACATTCGTTAAGCCAGTTAAGGAGAAAATTAACTCTATCCCAGCCAAAACCAGAACATCCCCGAAAGAAGCTGTTCCAGAGGGGATGGAGACTGGTCCATATCCTCACCAGATCCAGTTTTCCCTCGTTATTCCAAAAGCTGGCCAAGTGATTCTCCCCATCACCACGCAGTGCTCCCGTGGCTCACCGGATCCTCTCTTTTTCCGAATCCAGGGACGTGCTTTCACACACACAAGGAAATGCAGAAAGCTCACAGGCACGAGAACTCGCAAGGCTGAGGCCCAAATGTCTGCTACAATTTACGGGCTCGTGTAATCTGCTAAGACAGTCAATTAATTAGAGCTCACAGCAACCCTCTTTGTACTTCTAATATTGACTAATCGGCTCCAGAGCTCGTTGTTGTCCCACTGTCCTCACAGGGAAACTGAGTCACACTTGAGATGCCAGGGCAGGTCCTGTCTTCTAAACCCCAGCTCTCTATTCACCATCTCATTTCTTTGCCTCTTCTGCTTTGTTTTGCCACTGTGGAGGAAGAGATGATGGATCACCTTGTTTTGATCCCAGGAACATTCTTCCTCAGCGTGGTACAAACCACGTTGAAGATACAGAGCAGGGGCCCCTGGAAATGAGAAAAACTGGCTGTGTTTAACAGCTCTTTGCTTTTCTGACACATTTCTTTCTGTTCCCCAGCACTGGGTGCAATTGCAGCTGCCTCAAATGCCAGCGTTTTCCAAGGCAGGTCCAGGCAGTGGTTGGAATGCAGGAACTGCACCACAGCAGGCAGCAGGAGGCAGAGCTCTTAGGGAAGCACAGCCCAGGCAGCTCCCATTCCCCTGGACAGGGATTGTGCAGATTGAGGCTTATTCACAGAGCAAACACCTCTAACCTCTGCTGACATTCCTGCACAGGTGAGAATCACATTCCCTTGCTCAGCTCACCTGCATTTCTGAAGGGATTTAACGTATCTAAACCCTTTTTTTTTTCCAGCAGAATAAATTGCATTTTGCCTGCTGGTTCTGCAGATTCTCAGTCTGCCAAGCCCACCCTGCTCCTACGTGGTGTTTGTGTAAACCACACCATCCCTGCATCCGGATCTCCCGAAACCCCTCCCAGGGAGCCTCTTGGTGAAGCACAGGCAGCTCAAGCCAGGGAATTCTGCTGCGTTGGCTCCGGGAAATGTGCTTAATTTGTGGATTTTGTGCATATCTCTGAGGAACACTGAACTGCAGCCAAGAGGTGCCTTGAGGAGAGGGACCGTCGGAGCCGGGGTGTGCCCTGGGAAGGCGATGGGGAAGGAGCTGCGAGGCAGCGAGGCCATATCTGCTGGTTGTCATGGATACAATCGCTGCCCGTCTCCTGTATCAGTTACCTTCCCTTTCCTGGATGCAAATAACCGAGTGGTGGTCGGCTCCAGCTCCAGCTCCAGCGCAGGACGCAGCCCCGGACATCCGAAGAAAAGGAGAAAACCATCTGTTTCAAACACAGACATCTCTTCACATCATCAGAGGGGAGAGTGGGAGGTGACTCGGTTTTTCGGTATTCGAGCTATGCGAGGCCATTAATGCTCTGCCCAATTGCCTGTGGTTCTGCCCTAACCTTTGGCTGCTTCCTGGGACCTCAGAGGAGCTGTTTCACAGCCCATCCAGCCTTTTGGATTCCCGACAAGCTACTGAGGGCTTGGGCTCCGCCGGCTGCAGCACTTGCTGTGCTCAGCAAACACCCCCCAGCTGAGCTCTGCAGGCTCCCCCGACCAGCTCTTCCTTCAAAACACGAGAGGGCAAGAGTGGCTCAAACTACACTTCGAATCATGGAATGGTTTGGGTCAGAAGGGACCTTAAAGATCATTTCGTTCCACCCCCCTGCTATGGGCAGGGACACCTTCCA